TTGGTAACTAATTGTAAGAGTAAGCGTCCAGGAAAAGAAATCACCATTGATTGAAGTCTCTTTTCCTTCCTCTTTTCAACCAACGCGTAACCATCTTCGATTAGAGCTTTGCCCACGTCAAGTTTCTTTCCAGCACACTCAATCATCACCTAAAGCACCAGAATAAAGATCATTTTCGAGTAAGCGGAATTTCGTCATAAAAAGCTGGTATTTACCTGGCAGTATTCAGTTGAGCCAACTTTGTATTCAATATTGATTTCGGCAGTGGGAACAGAGAATAGCAACTGTTGGAGTGCATCTTCGCACTGCAACCCATACTCCTGGAAAACAAAAGAATGTTATATCAGTTCCACTACCACGAAAAAAGGGTAGGAAACCTTATCATTTGGTATCGCCACCAAGGCCAGTCCGTATTCTTTCGCTCCTGGTGGGAAAGAAGCAAATCCTGGTGGAAGCTGAGCCAAGGAAGTAGCTGGTACAGTTTCTCGCTAAAGTATTACCATCGAAAATTTATCGAGGATTCATTTGAAAGACCGAAAAGTAGTACTTACATTTCCATAATCCACGAAAAGAACCTCTGCCTGACCAGATCGAACGCTTTCCACTTTGGCACGATACCATAAACCATCAACAGAAAACGGTGCCGCACACAAGTCACCGCGCTAAACTATTTGTACTATAGATTATACAATTTTTACATGGTAATAATATAAAGTGTTCTAAAACCAAAAAAATAGCTGTAACTGTCAAATACGAAGGGAAAGCTGAATACGTAAAGCAATTTCACCTTACCCTGGGGTTGAATGCTCCAGTCATGGGTGGGTGCTGGCGAAGATATTCACGGAAATCCGCAGTCATCTTCTCGAGTTTCGGTCCGTCCTCAACGAGTTGTGCAGCAAAGTTCAGGGTACCCTTAAAAATCAAGCATGAAAAGTTGGCTGAGACAAAATTTCCACTGAAATACTTAAGCCTCGTTGTTTTAAGATAAGAAATGACCCATCCGATTCTTTTCAAATCGATAAATTCAAGAAGCATACCTTCGAGACATCTGTGACAGCTACTTTCTTATACTGAACTCGTCTTTCGGCCGTGTCGTTCTGTTGGGTAATCACCTCATCAGGTACAACTTCTTCCTCCTTATAGTTTTGCCAGATATTTCTCCTTAACACAACACAATAGAGGGAGAAAAGTGCGGATATAGAGGAACGAAGAACCACTTACAAAGCGGCTTTTGCACGTTGTTCCGCTGCCGCCAGCTGGTTGTAGTGTGCACTCCTTTCCGCAGTGAAATGCAATGTAGCTAGGCCCTGTTCAAGCAGCACCTCAGAGAGGTTCTGTGGCTTGCCGCCTCCTTCAGGTGTAAGGAACAGATATCCGATGAAGTTTCCCATCTTGTCCAATCCTTCAACCTCTATTTCGACTTCATGTTGTAGTACCAGACGACGAGTGAAAGCAGCGGCTTCTTCAGCAAAAGGTTCCGATGGACCTGTTACTCCTCCTGGTCCGGGCCTGCCGCTCTAGAACAATCAACCCTTGCAATTGGTTGCTATAAGAAATGTGCGAACTTCTGGACTCACCTTGGGGCAATTTATTCCGCCAAGTAGGAACGTGATAACCACCGTCTCCTTGGGGATGTAGATCCTAAGCCGCGATCCGCTTGCAATAAATTCCACAACACCTTCTGCTCTTAAAAAATAAACCAATAATATCAAGCCGAAGAGGAGCTGATTGATAGAAAACGTACCGCGTGCTCCTCTGCAGATACGGAAGGAATTGCTTGCTTCTGGCCAGATCTCCTTGAAGTTCTTGGATACGGAGGGTGTCCTTTTTGTCAGCACTCTTATCAGCAAACAACCCCTTCTTACTCTTTTCAGCATTTGCCTCTGCAGCCAATAAAGCGTCGTATTCAGACGATCTGGAAAAACACGATAGCAATCGAAAAAGTATATGCACTTTTTAACAGCACTAACCTGTTCTCGTCATCCGATCGATGTCTCACCACCTTGCTCAGTCCCTTTAGAATCAAAGCCTCCGCGATGTTAAGTTCACCAACTTTCACAGTGCAGCACGTCTTCTCAGGGAACTGTTCCGACTTGGGTTGGATGTAATCCACTGTCACCGTGACAGTTTTACCAATCAACCTTAAAATACAAGTTCATTTCGTGAAAATAGCAATTAGAGAAAACAGAAAATCGAAATTGCGACTAACCTCTTCCTAAGGAACTCTCTCGCTTGGAACATGAATGGAACATCATAGAGCGGACGGAATTGCCTTCCAACGGACGGCTTTTCGTCAGAGTCCCTTAAAATAATTACTTATCAGAGACAAACTAATTCACAACACCAAAAATTTTATACTTTACTTAGAAATCGATACGAACATCATTCAGGCATAGCAACCTACTGACCTTGGCAATCTCACTGAAGCGAGGTGAATCTTGACTTCTGAGCCATCAGCTTTTCGAACCATCATGGCGTCAGACATAATGATTTCGACGACTTTTCCTGTGAAGGTCTTCTTGTCCCCAGTCAAAGCACTTGCAGCAGAAGGCTGATAAGTTCGCCACAACCGCAGCTTTTTGTCTTTGGCCAACCTTAAATCAACAGGATATCAGTGTTGGCAACAGTAAGACTTAGAATATGAAAATGACGAACTTCTCAGCAGCTCGAAGCTTCTCGGCGCCACCAGTGCACAGTCCAATACTCCAGTCAACGCACTTCGCATAACCCTCACGCAACAACGATTCGGCGATATTGCCTTTTGGATGAAGAACCGAACCAACGAGATTCTGGTTTGACGTCGACTCGAGTACAACCTAAAAACTGAGAATCACGCAAAACATCGAGGACAGCTTTCTGTGGAAAACGGGCCTGAAAAAAAGGAAATACCTTGACATCTTGCTGCAGAAGTCTTTGTTCGACAAAGTATTTAGCTTCTTCTGCGAACTGTTCAGCTTTTCCATCAGTTCCGGCACGTGTTGCTGGTGCTCGCACACCAGACAATTGTAAGGTGATGTATTCAAAGCTGGGTAGAAGCATGACCCGTATTGTTGATCCATCTCGGACCTAAACATCGGAGGAAAATATCACGATAAAGGTACATAACAGCAAAGCCACAGTCAAATAACACTCATAAACGACTCTTATCAGCACTACAACCAAAAAAAAAACATCAGAAGCATACAATCATCTGAAGCTCTTATGAGGTAGAAATAGAAGTTAGGGAGCATTTAAAAACTATCACGCATAACAGCAGCACATCCCACACTTGGCTATATCTTTAACCGCTTATCGGCGCAAAAAAAACCATTAAGAAATCTTCGAAATCGATGGGAGCTAAAAAAACTAACCATCTCAACAACAGCATCCACAGGTTTTTGCTTGTATTGATCCACCAGCTGTCTCGGATTTTCAATGACCCACTTCACCTCTCGAATTGCATCGCTCGAACTACCCCATTTACCCTTCCCAGCAGCCTTAGCTTGATCTTGCAATTCGAGCAGCTTTGTGACATATTCACTGAAAAGATAGTGCATTGGGAGACCTGTTATGCCGTTTTCATAAAGCAAAACATTCTAATTAGCTTGATTTAAAAAGACTTTGACTCACTCCGCTATCTTTCCAGGTCTAACCTCCACCCAACCTTCTGCGACTGCAGTTTCGGTGACATTTTCCGCGTTGTCAGGATCTAGACAAAAAAAGAAATATGAGATGACATCTTGTCAGCTCAGCAAAACACTTAGAAGAGACGGAAACAGGACGTGAAAACTAATTTAACTAAAGTGCGTAGATGAACACTAACTTGTTCCTCCCAGGTAAATTTTGCCATGATCACGTCCAGATGCAGCAGTGTACTCTTTTACGAATGTGACCACATGACCGACAATTTTCTTACGAAGAAACTCACGCGAATCCCAAGCGAAAGGCTGAAAATATTGGTAGAGTTTATCTATTTTAACCTATACCATACGTATGTTGACTAATGAAAATGAAAAACCACTCATAAACCTCGTCAACGGTAGCCGCGGTAGTTTCTGTTGGACGTTTACCGAGTCTTGGGGCAACGACGTTGCTAAGGTAGACAGTGGTCTCTGGTGGAGGACCATTTGTTGGTTGACCTTGCAGAACTACGGCATCACCAGACAGTACCTGAACAAGAAGAGGATTGCAAGATGAAAACCCCAACATTAACTCTCTGGAACTCTCGTCCCTTTCAATAGCATTTCCCTATTGACAACTCAACAGAAATAGTCCAAGGTAACCCAACAACGGGATAAACTATCCTTGATAGTAAGGAAGTCACATTAATCAGATCCTATCCATGTACGAGTAAGGACTATATGTAGAGTAGTGGGAGCGGTGAACCTGTACAACAATCTGCAAATTGGCACAGCTTCGGTAGTATTTATTTGAAGCCGTTACAGCCGTTTTCAAAAGGAAAAATATTCTTCGATCACAGCGGTTTCTGGATTGTTCTATGGCATATCGACTGATAAGACTCAGACGTATAATACAACGGGGTCTGGCACGCATATGAACTGTTCACGTTAATGTTGAAGCAAAGCAATGAACGCAAATATGTACACATCTGCTTGTCAAACATTATGAAATATTATTTTATGTCGAACTAATTTTATTCATAAAATCATTATGAAGTCGAAGATAAGATCAAGATGAATGTGTAGAGATTGTGATGGCTCCCTTGAATCGATTTTTGCTCCAACACAAATTCATTCTATAACTAAGCAACAAGACAAAGAACCACGCTCGTCGTTATTTTAATGAGCGACCGCAAGCGGCACTGAGCAATTTCGAAACCTACCGATACTGAAACGCCATGTCAAATGGAATGGAATCAAATGTTAGGGCACTATTGAATGAACACGCAGCTTTTGACTATCGAAACCATGGAAACATATAAGCCTATTCCTATTAGCTGGAATTTCAATTTCCTTAACCTGGAGCACTCCGAAAAAAAAAACTAAGGAAATCATCACAACATCCTGAACGAAATTACTTCTCCATTAAAATCTTTAGAAAACTCAAACGATACATGGAGCTATCATACCTTTTGACCATAAAGGCTGAACATTAAGAAGAACTCACCTCCCTAGTGACCTTAATGACTGGGCAATGATGCTCACATAAGAAGCACGCTCTTCAACGGAATCAACCCTTGCGGACACAAAAAGACTCGGAAACTTATCTCTCATCACATTTCTTGAACAGACCTAATGAAACAAAATATCTGCATCTTGAGTTTGAAAGTAGCAACCTTTTGAAGGAAATTAATAAAAAAAACGATTGGATTCAGCCTTGTGAGCACATTTAGGAGAATCGATCATTGATTATTGGTATCATGATAACAACTGCTACTTTTTTTTCAAGTATTATACGACTTTGAACCGAAATTTACATCTGATGGGTCGCATGACATAAAGAAGGTTCCAAAGCATAAATTCTAGAAAAATATTCCTTACTTGTTTCACGAATCCACGACGGAAGGTCGGTGCAGATGAAGCGGGTGGAGGTGGTGCAGGAGCAGGAACTACGTTGTCAGCCATGAAACCCGAGTCAGGAGCGAGAACCTAGTCCTCGTTGCTAGAACTACCCTTAAACAACTTGATCAAGCGATGATAAAATCTTCAAGACTGTTAAAAGTGACGTCAATTGGCAACATTTCGTTGTTGGACCAAAAATTAAGTCATCACCTGTCTTTTAGTCAGAAATTGTCTCTAAAGTACCGAAATAAAACATAAAACAATAATGAAGCGATGTAGAAGAGTTCAGATCTGCCAAGTTCCCAGACAAGAAGAAGCCCAGAGAATGGGATTCGAGCAAATTCGAGGTATTACGCTAAAGACTACACAGTCCCTTGGAGAATGCGAAACCACCGTAATACTCGCCTCACCGAACTACAAAGAAAATCACCGGTGGCGGTCCCGCAACTCTTCCCTTATCAACTCTATCACCTGTTGATTAGAGCTAGGAAACTTCTGAAGTTTCTTGCGTTTTGATTTCTTGTGTATTTAGTGAAGTTTGTGTTCTTATTCGGAAGTGAAGAAGCCATGTAAGGGTTCCATCGTTGGAATTGAAGAAAAACTTTATGTGATCCATCTGTTTTCCATTAAAAATAATTTATTGGGTGGGTTGTTCGGGTTGCCAGGATACATTCATTAGTCTGCTTCAACGTCGGGTATTGCAGCGTATTTCAAAAAGGTATCCAATAAGTATTCATGGGAAACTTCTAATTCGAAATTAAGTACAATTTCAGCTTTAGAGCCGCTAAACTAACCCGTTCATGCCCAGTCGATGCTATATTTGTTCTGTTTTCAGCCATTATTTATTGACTTCAGATGAGCACGGGTCATCAACCTGGTTTATTTAAAAAGCCACCAAAAGTACATAAAACTTTCAAAGGAAAACGATCAAAAGGACAAATTGACGCTGAAAATCGAGGTGTGTCCCCTTCTACGAAGCTCCGTCAGAATTTCAGTTTTATTTTTTGAGACCTGTTCAGGTCGTGTGGCAGTTTCTGCAGTAGTTAGATCACGGAAACGTTTTCTGTCGAAAAGCGAACGCCATCAACAAGCTGCCCAAATTCGAGCCAACAAACGGCGAACTGTTCTTGAACAACGCCGTGGCCTAGATGGAGGGCTGTCAGCTCCAACACTGATTGTAAGTTCTTTGTAACAATACTCGCTATAGTCCCATTCCTTGCTTTTCTTCATTCACGAATACCTTTCTTCATAGACAAGTATCTATTCTTGGGATGCTGCAGGTTCAATTTCAGACAGTTCTGTCTTTTGGAGGGAGCCAAACCCCGGCCAATTTCGTAAACGGGGTTGCGTCCTGTGATGAGACTATTGTACGGACATCAGGGCATAATACTGTTTATCTAGCGTAAGTTCTTTTTAGTACTTTCAACTTTTAGACTTTGTGACTTCTCTCGTCAATTCGTTTTTCAGCGTACCTCGGTTCAAATCACGTATTGGTCTGCTTACCCCAGATCCCAAAAGAGTTGACGATGTTTTGGATTGTATCAAGGTAGTCCTACAAGAATTCGTGGCTAATATCACCAGTTGAAACTTTTCTTTGCTGCTAGGTATCGGATATCGTCTGTTTCTTGTGGCCTACGGACGGGGAACTCAATGAGGAAAATCGCCTTCTCCTCACTATTATAAAAGCACATGGTTCGTGTCATTCATATGATTAGAATTTCATTTCACGGACTCTAGGTTTATCAGATTCTGGAGGTTCCATAAGGAGCGACTGGTTTCTATTCAGGCTTGCCATCCATTGTGAATGTGACCTCCAATCTCAGTCAAATACCTATTGGAAAGAAGCGTGAAGATGCTAGGAAGCATGTACAATCGTTGGTCACTGATGAGTAAGTTTTCAGATTTTTGGACCGTACCATCAGTTTATAAGTTGACTTTTTGTTTTCAGAAATCTCGTTACAAACAAGTTGTTTTGTTGTGATACAGACCCTGAGCGAGTTCTCCTAGTTCGACATTTTATTGACATGAAAAAGACCAAGATGCTGCTACAGAAACGCCGACCCCATATCTTAGTGGAGAAATTGGAGCTTGCTGACTCTGATAACGTTGGTAAAACTTTTGGTTTACCCTTTTACTAGTTGTTGAATGCTGTATTTCTAGTCAGGCATATGTTCTGTGTTGGCTAGCGGTTACCTTCGTGGTCCGACTTGGAACGTTAATCATTTGGTCCATATTCAAGGATGGGGAGATTTCCAAATAGGACGTATACTCGCGCATTCTGATCCACATCCACTGAAGCGTGTAAGGCAAATGATGGTAGTTTTCGGAAGTTGTCCTTGTTCATTATGAGAGCATTTCATTTTAGAATGAGAAGACTGTCACCAATGAAGATACTACTCCGAAAGTGTTGGTGACTGCTGATGAGGCACGACGTGAAACCTTACAATCCGAAATAGTTCCGGATCCAATGGATGCTGAGCAGACATGGCCTGATGAGTTCGATGTCGCTGATGATGCCAAATGTGAGTTTATTGAAATCTTAGTTGATTGTATTACTCTGACTTTTTTAGTAAAAAGTGAGGCAGACGTTCGTAAAGTGCCTAAAGGAACTTCATCATATCAGGCTGCTTGGATTGTTGATGACGATGATGACTCTGCTGGTGATGAAGAGGAAAGCGACGATGATGTGGGTCTTCAATAATTTTCAAAAGTAGGGTGAAATTGAATTTGCACATTTGACAGGAAGAGGAAGAGCATGGAAATGAAATGGAAATGGAAGCGGCTACTGAAGCGAGTGAAGGAGAAGGACGAAATATTGATGAGGTCGAAGAGATGATGTCAGAAGTGGATGATGGAGATGAAGCTGATGACCTCGACGAAGTATGTTGGTAAAGGACCATTTGACAAGTTACCGTACTCAAAAGAAATGCCAGTAGTAGCTCATGTTTTCTTAGGTGGAAAAATATCGTCGTGAGAGAGAAAACGCGCAATTCCCTGACGAAGTGGACACTCCTATCAATGACCTCGCCAGAATCCGTTTCCAAAAGTACCGTGGGTTGAAGAGTTTTAGGTAATTTTTCGTTTGAATCACTTACCTTTCCTCCATCATATGCTCTTCAGAATTGAAACTAGGTTATTTATCGTGGAAATGTTCGCGCCGTACAGCAGCAATATTGCAGGACATCGCCTTGGGATCCAAAGGAAAACCTACCATCAGATTATGCCCGCATATTCCAATTCCAAAACTACAAGAAGTCTAGAAAAACTGTTCTGAGTGAAATTGGTGATTATGATCCAACAGCATGCGTATTTTCTGGGCAATATGTGACCATACAGATTGACCGGGTTCCCATTACACTTGCCCGTGAGTTCCTTTTTATTTGCATAATTCATTTCATTAAGCTCCATTTGATCTTTTTTTTTACATTTTTATTGGCTTACCTCGTACCCTGACAGCTATCGCTTTGCTCACAGATATGAATGTCTGTAGAGATACCTATAACTTTATAGATCTCTTTTAAGAATTTTCATATAGGTGGGCGGTATTGTTTTACTTATGTAAACTTATTCCAGAACAGTGGGACCCATCTGCTCCCATGGTTTTGTATCAGCTCTTGCCCCATGAGCAACGTATGTCTGTCTTGAACTTCGTGATTCGTAAACATCCCTCATGTAGGGTTCCTATTATGAGTAAACAGGTTTGCTTTTTCAGAGCTCTCCCCCTCCCCTTTTTGACTTTTTTTCGCCCTACTATTTTTTCACTTCGGATAAATGACCCGTTTCAGAAACTAATCTTCAGTGTTGGGTTCCGTAAATTCGAAGCATCCCCCGTTTTCAGTCAGCACACGAATGGAAACAAGTTCAAGGTTATTAAAATGCGTTTCAAATTTAATTTTCAAGTTCTTTTAATTCATTCCTTAAACTACTAACTATGTAACTCTACATATTTAGATGGAACGATATTTACCTGCGAATGCGTGCTGCGTTGCTTCTGTTTTTGCACCAATCACATTTCCCCCGGCTTCAGTGCTAGTTTTCCGTGAAGGCAAAGCGGGCAAGGAGGTGAACATAGTTTCCGTCATCTATTTCAAAGAAGCTAGAAGCCTACTGCAGCATTATTCTCTCAGGAGCTAGTTGCCACGGGATCGTTACTGGATGTTAATCCTGATAGGATCGTTCTAAAACGAATTGTTCTATCCGGTCACCCGTTCAAAATCAATAAACGTTCTGTGGTTTGCCGTTACATGTTCTTCAATAGAGGTCAGTTCTTTACCATCTATAAAACCTCCTGTTCCCCTCGGTTTCCGGAAGGAGTAGCTTCCAAAAGTAGATGAAATTTTCATGATTACAGAAGATATCGAGTGGTTCAAGCCAGTGGAATTGTATACACCAAGTGGTCGTCGTGGACACATAAAAGAAGCCCTAGGTTAGTAGCGAAACTACGGTTTCTAAAGATTTTACCTTCACTTTACTATTCGCATCATCCATTACCTTTACTATAAGGTACACATGGCCATATGAAATGCCGATTTGATCAACAACTGAATGCTGCTGATTCCGTTATGATGTCATTATACAAAAGAGTTTTCCCTAAATGGACCTACAACCCAAGGGTTCGTTTTTCCTTGGTTTCCGTCAAAAGCTGCCTTTTTTTACGCAGTACAATTTTAGGTAGGACGATTCGGAACAAATGCAACTTCATCGTTAGAAAGCGAAGCGATGGATGAATGATAGATTTGTTCAATTGAACTGCAAAATATCGATTCGGTTTTACCTATACCTAATAGCTACTGTTGATTTTGTTGTTTTGTTTCTTGGTTGTTTACCCAGCCTTTCATTGTTGCTTGGTTAATGTTACTTCGATGTTATGTGGCATAGTTGTTATAGTTTTCTAAATAAATGATTCTGACCGATAGTGTCATTCTGTTAGAAGCAGGTTCATCCATACTACAGAAACCCAGACCTGGGCAACCAACCTTAAACATGCAATTGCTTTTCCTAGGGCTTGCCAAAGTTATCGGGAAGAGATCGTAACCCACATGGAACAAACAAAGAGAAGTATGGTTATGTTTTAGCAAGAAGAGCAAACCTGTGTATCAGCCACAACTTATGCGTTCAGGTCGCGCAGCGGAGTTGGAGCTAGGACGATTTCGAGACCTCATTGAGTCGTTACCGTCTACATCACAAGAACAGCACCGCGTGCTTGAGGAGGTACCATTTCTGGGATGTTTTGTTCTTTTTTTCAAACTTTTTATTGAAACCAACCACTCAAAACTTTATACGTAATCTCTCTTCAAATTAGTAAAACTGAGAATCATGCGCTATCTAAAACGGCCTCGAATCAGTGACAGGTGATTACTATCCTCCTATCTATTTCCTAACCTAATTCACTCGGAATTGAGGATTCTTTAACCTGTGGGAGGTATTAGATGGTAGTGACTGGAACCATGGCAGGCAACCGCAATGGGAGATATTCGGTCGATCACGCCAGGAAAACGTCATCATGGTGTCAATTGAGAAGCGACATTCGGCTGAAAGATGTAACCTCGCAGGATACTCGTATGCTCGAAGTCTGAAATGGATTTTCGTAGACCGATGGAGTTGATTGATACCTGTAGGGAGCGTTATTCGACGTAAATCTGGCAGTAGTTACCTCTGTGCTTCTACAATTTGTGGATTTGGACGTTTTTCACAATAAGGCATGCAATCTGTCACAATCACAAAGGCGATCACGCCGACTGACCTAGAATTAACAGTATTCCACTCTAGTTATTGGTAGGCTGCTAGAGTAGGCGTACGATAAGTGCCAGGAAAGAGTTTCCGTTTTCAAATTCATTGTCTGTGTGTCCACTCTCTCAGTCAGAAGAAAGTTAAGTTAAATATTTTGACATTCTACTTACAGCCCAGGTTGACAAGATCATTATGTTAAGGAATGGGTGCCAATTGCGTGTTGACGGATTTTGGTCAATTACTACGTGGTAAAAACCCCCGTCAAGTATCTTTACGATTTTAAGTGAACACCTGATACTGACTCAACCAGAATTTTAATCATGTCTTGATTTATCCTGTCTGAAAGGTACACTAGATTATAAAATAGCTTACCAGACATCGGATTTGTATGGATCGTACGGCTCCCCTTTTAGGATCTCCGGTGCAGAATATGATTTCGATCCACAGTAGGTTTCAGAAAGGGCGTCACCTCGTATCACCTGTAAATCCTTCAATCAGTTACAGAAGTACATTGAAACTCTAAGTCTACAATCACTTACGCTACGTGCAAATCCGAAATCGCTGATTTTAATTATGCCTTCGTCCGGGAAGATGACGATATTTTCCAACTTGAGATCCCGATGTACAATCCCATGCTGAACAAACCCATAGTTGGCTCTATTTTCTGTGATAACCTCACACAGTTTTTTGGCAAACACTGTGTTGTGAAACACTTACCGTATGCATGTAGTAAACAGCAGATATTACTTGGGACATCCAAATCATTGCCTGATGCTCCTTTACGGGTCCTTTCTTCTGTACATGTTGCAACTACAACAGAAGATATTATAGTTTTATAGTCAGAAGTTGTTTATAGTTTAGTCAAAAGTTTATTTAAACGAAGATTAGTTCCACAGTTCTTTATGGTTCCACTGTCTAGCTGCTGTAAGAACACGAACAAATTCCCATTTCAACATATGGGGTTTGATTTCTGACACTGACCATGGCGGTGGTGGATCTCTTTGACGAAGAAGACATAGTGACTGATACTAGCTGATCGTCAAGAGCAACCCTCATCCTCTTGAAAAATTATAGGGGTGTCGTGCTCACCTCCAGTGGTTGGGGCAGATAATGAAAATGTTGTTGTGGAACGCATCAAGGTCTTAGGGTAAACGTTAGGTAAGCACTAACCCCAAATTCGCCAGAATGATGCGCGAGTATAGGACTCCTTGATTTCGGTTAAGTAAAGGAAGAGGGAATCCAGGGGGAAGGGCAAGAGGATGATTATTGTTTTAAAAACGGCTGCAATGTTTCAAAAAGCTAGAATTTCAAGGAAGTGGGAGGTATTGCAGAAGGATGAGAATGAAGTGGTCGTTTTGCAGAACCTTATAGCACTCTTCATGCCTACTTTCGCTTCTAATAAGTGAAAAACTTCCGATTAAGAGTTTTAAAGATGTCTTTCATATACGAAGCCTACCATGTCACCTCCTCTGGCGAATTCCATCGTGAGAAACACGTGTTGCATAGCTTCATAATGACCCAAGATACGGACTAGATGAGGATGATTAAGCCGCTTCCAGCATTCGATCTCTCTTGGAAGAAATTTACTGCGAAATTCTTCCGTAACCTTTTGTGTGTTAATCATTTTTATAGCGACCTAAACATAGATGACTTAGTAGCATCGACTGATCACATATCATGATTAAGAGCTTTTTTGTGGTCAATCAAATTCTCTTTGATGGTACTTTTCGCTTACAATTAGAGGTCTTTATGAAGTACTGCTCGATGCTCAACTCAAAGCTGCTCACCGCATGTCCATTCGAGACAAAGTGTCCTGTGATTACTTTGCTGTATCTACCACAACCGAGTTTCCGAGAGCTTCGCAGATCGATATTTTTCTCGAGGAACAGCTCACACAATATCTCATCTCGTGTTTTGTTTGACCAATTGGGAATCTGAATGTTTTTGGCAAATCCTCTTTTTTTTTNTTTTTTTTTCTTTGCATCTTCCTCTCTGCTCATCTTTTCTTTTTATGGTATCTCATTCTTTTCTTCTGATCACAAAAAGAAAAGGCGTCTATATTCGCGTGGTCGACTAAGGGGATTATCTTCTGAGATAGAAATTCAGTAGCAAGTATACCACAGCCTTTGGTTTCCTGGCTGCTACTCTCAGGAAGTAGAAGCTCGACGGAATACAACGCCCCAAATGTGGACTACTTTCGTAGCAATGAGAGCCCCCAAGTATCAAGAAAAAGTCCACTCATGAACACCAGTCCCACCTGTTTCTTCACTGGCATACTCAACGACCGAGCAACTACGGTATTATTTTCATCTCCTCTATAGTAGCGATTACGCCTCTGATCGTTGTTGCTCTTCAAATGTGCGTGTTGAGAAGATGTATGTTCATCATGGGGTTGCACAGCCTGCGTTTGCACACGAACCAACGGATTTCGTCGAGAATGATGCAGATCGGTCTGAAAATACATCAGTATTGAAGAACTGATTACTAACTATCGAGATGTAGTTATTCTGCATGTGTTGTATTCACGCGTTATGCTCCGCAGCCGCTATTTCCATAGAATTTGTGTGAGTAAAATCTATGGCAGAGGCTCCCCTTTCTTTCGCAACTGGTTTCGTTCGGTCTGCCGCTGGTACCATCTGCTTTATATTATTTATGATAATTTAGCAATAAAGGCTCGAAAATACATAAGTGTGAATGCCCGCAAATGCGGTCACTTGCGTCTGTAGTAAAGTGTCTAATCAATAGGTATCTTTGACCAGCATGGGCAGTAGGCGCCATAACGACCATCGCGCGCGGCGCATGCACTGCAGAACTATCCCAGGGCGATCGTCGCGCGCGGTCGGCTGTGTGGTGATTACGCCTCGCGCGCTTATCGCCACCTATCCCCCATTTCCACCATTCCACGATGAATGTATACACTTCGGTCAATAGGAGGATGAAACATCATTTTTGAAAGAATTATGATAAGCGCAGGTTATACTTCCACAACACAGGATATCAAATCCAATTTAGCTCTACTGGAGTAGGGTTCAGTTGAAGTGCTGCTAACCTCAGCGGAGTTTTCCCTCTAGGTTCTCTCTTCACTACTGTTGTAGTTAATGTTGTATCCCCATGGTAATTGTAGTATGTTTCGTTGGCCATGTAGGACCAAATATTGGGCAAAGGGTCCCACTCCGCCCACATACGTGAGCGGTGCTCCTCAGGCAGCACTCGTCCTGATCGGACTACATTGGTTTCTACCTCAGCCAGTTCCCATTCCTGCACTGTACTTGAACAGAAATAATTCACCTGAGGATAATGTTGATCTCCTTGGGCTCCCATGGTGTGTGTATGTGGCTGGGTAGCTCCTATTGAGAGTAACCACCTGTAATGTAGAGGAAGAAGTTCACTCAAAGACTGTGTGAAATAGTTGAATCTTGCAACTAACTGTAAAATTATTTCTCTGTGAGTTGACTGAACACTTCACATACCTTAGTCCTTTCTGGAATCCTGGCAATTGTTCAGTTTTCGAAAACACACAGAGAGAATATGAACATCACCGAGCAAATCAAATGTGGATATGATGTTTTCATCGGTTAGGATATCATTATACAATCATTGACGTGCACCATCACGTAGTGCTAAGATTCTTCAAAATTTCGACATGTATTCAGCGGAAGTGGCAGATATCTGTTCTTTCCTGGAACCAGTTATTTTAGATGTATTCTGGCCACCAAACATCAGAGCAAAATAATAAAATTCGAGTAATTAACTGAATTTTCTTACCTATGGGAACTGCTGATTATTTTAGTGAAGTTACGGTTAGGATTTATGCCTTAGCAACTGTACTGCAGTCTCATGCGGAACGATACGTTGCACGGCTTATCACTGCCTTTCATTCCATTCCACTGACTCCACTGGTTCCATTGGCTCTAGCCACAAGGGACAAATTACTTGATATCTCCTGTCTTTGTCTGTTTACTGTTGTCAATAGCTTCATACAAACAACAGCAAGCAGGAAATGACATGTGAAATGCGTTGTTCCCGGTAAGGGTGCGCCCCGTTGGCACTCGCCGCAGAAATCCAGTTAGTGATTGGATGGTGCAATGTATGGGTCAGACTTGGATGGTTAGGGCGCGGTTCCATTGGATCATTACAGTCGTTCATACCGTGAGACCATTATCAAAAATTTGTCGAGCGCGTGCGTCCGTGGGAACGTGAGCATAATTCCCACGGACGTGGGCACGCACGCGTCAACTTTCTAATAGTGGTCTCGCTGCATCAAACCGCAGTGACTGCAATGACCCGTTGAAAAAGCGTAGCAATTATTCAAATGACCTACAAATCGGGCGCTACGATCACCTATTGAATTTCGACGATTGCACAAAGACAAAAAATTCCATACGCCCCGAAATAGGATTTCGTCTCTGGTCGGTAACGAATTACAACAATGACAATTGGTTTTTGAACCAACGTACCCTTTCTACCTCATCTAATTCTATTGATATGAATTCTCTGCGGCTAAAGCGGAGCAAGACACTGGTCCTTATTGACTCGATATTGTTCATTATCGATTAGAATTATCTCAATCGAATTCCCATTCCACCACTTTTATCCTCTACCAATTTAAACCAAATTCACGGCTAAAGCAGCAGAACTAATGAATTTTGTTTGATTTCAGGCACTAGACCTCTGCGCTTCTCGTCAGATCGAATCTCTCACCCGGAGTGGTTGCCCTATCGTTGATGGATGCACAACGGTTTTGGCAGATGTCTTGAATGAGGTAGCGGAAATACGCAATGAAGCTGCTGAAAAGATCTTCCCCCCGCTTTTGCTTTACGAGAGCGATGGTGAGCTTCAAAAGACTCTGTTGGTTGTGACAAGATAATGTTCTGACTAAGCAGTTCCTCCTTCAGTCTCGGACAGTGCCGATCAGTGTCATGCAGTTCGTGATATGGCAGCGTTTTTGCCAGTACTTTTGGATCTCTCTAGTTTCCTGGCCAGAACCAGCTCGGTTTTTCGCAATCTGCTATTCCAGATAAGAGGATTCCATGGTTTGGAGTGAGTTAAAGCGATTACTTACAGACAGGGGTGCTATTCGAAGTACGTACTAGTTACTAGGACTATTCACTTTTGCAAAGTTACAATTCACTATTTCATTACAAAGTGCATCATTACCTGCACTTCCGCCCAACATTGGTTGAATATTCCAGGTCGAAGGACTTGCCAGAAGCTCCAGATCGAAATCTATTCCGAGCTTGGTTCGGTCTTGGTGAATTATTGACGATCCTTCTCCAAACGGACAAAATTATTGAATGCCGTCCAGCGATCCGAAATGATTGGAACAGTTACTCACGGTTAGTTAGGTGGACTTAAATTTCAAAAAAAAAANNAAAAAAAAACTACTAGAATTAAGCGCCTAAGAATTTTACCGTAGAGGAGAGCTAAAAATGGAAGAGAATCTTACCTGTATCTGGACTAGTAGTTCCCGGATGCGTGGTCCATCCCGCTTCCTGTCTGGGTTAGCTCGGTGTTGATGTTGCATATGATCTGTAAAGGCTTCCTTACCAGTTGCTTGAGGATCTCAGTAAAGATTTACTGACACGAACCTAAAATTTATTGAATTACAGAGCAATCGGTACTGCTCAACATAATCCAGCTCAGTTTGGAGTAACATTCGATGAAATTCGTCCACTTATCAGCACTATCGCTACTATTGATTGTCAGGTTATGGCTGGAAACGGTCTCCGTGTAGGTTTTTAGCGTGGTAGGACTCATCGGCATACTTGCGGCTTACTATAATTCGTACATCTACAGAATTGCTATGAACAAAGCTATGGAGAGTTGGATGAGGACAAAAAATTTGCTGCACGTATGCGAGCCGCAATCATTGAGATTTATAATCAATGGGAAAAAGCAGCAGGTACTGTAGCTCCTACTACTACTTCTTTTTGAGAACTACCCAGGACGAACTGAGGCCTTATACTTGGGGTCCAACTGCAAAAATAGGAGGGGTTGTTATAGTCTTTATTGGTTGTAAGGTGTCGCAGCCGGATTATAATCCACTGATCAAATCCTTTCGAGTTAGTCATACCATCCACCCATCCAGGGTCGATTCAGTGGTACCAGCTTCGTCTAGAGGATCAAAAACACCGGATTATACGGGACAGCTCTCAGAAGTCGTTCTTTATATGAGCTAAACTCCTACTATTCAAATGCCACTGCGATCTTTGTACATGGCGCATACTGAGCCTGGAAAGATTAAATCTCATAGATTTGTTGATTTGTTAAAAGAACTAATGATCGATATTCAGATAGCGACATGCCGGACAAGTACCGATTGATGGTTATTGTGTCGTTGTTTGTTTTTCATCAACTACATTTCGCCCTCAATGACAACAAATTAGGAAGGATTATATGGAAAAGTCACAAGAAGGTACAATGTTATGGCCGGTAAATTTGTAAAAAGAAGACTGGCGATAAAAAAAAATTGAGAGAAAAAAAATTGAAATTGGACAAAACAGGAGAGGAAACTGCCGGGCGTACGCGGAGGTGGTTCAGTTAAGTCTGGCGCCGCAACTCATTTGGAGATCAAATCCTAAATCAATCCGCCCAGATCAACAGCGCCTTTTGTAACTTCCCAGGATTAGCAAGTTAGTAATAGGCTTGTTAGTGGGATAAAGAGCCACATCATCATTGAGAGTAGTACAACACTAAAAAGAGTTCGATCATACAGAAAACTTTAGAGGTTCATTTCTGAGAATTCAACCTCAGAAAATTCTCATCCATTCCCCACTCAAAAAAAATTTTCTTTCCAGATTATGGCCTTCCATATGATTGGAGATATTCTATGGATTCCTTGTGAATTTTTGATGAGAGAAGTACCAGCGATTGTGAACGCTGTCGATAAGAAAAGCGTACAACTCGTCAAGCATGTCAGGTCAGCGTCGAATTGTCTGAAAATGCTACTATACTGGCATTTTAGTCTTCCCTTGTTGGTATCGTCTCAATGGCAGCTCATTCCCTATCAAAACCTTGCTTACCTATATATCATCACTGTTTCTTCCAGGGGAATTTCTCTGTTCAGTTGTAAAGCTAATAATGTTCATTTCAGAGAAACCCTAATGGCTGAACAAAGCGATGCCATGCTTGAGGAAGCCATGTCTTATGTGCCGGCAGCTGAAGATTGGCAGACAAAGGTATAATGTGGAGTTTTTGAGGAATTTCCCATTTAAACCTTTAGATTACTACCCAACCTAGACTGAGAGCTGGAAAATGATCCCGAATAGTACTTGGAAAAGTATAGGCTTCATAGTTTCTGTTCAGATGAGAGCAGAGGTACGACGTCAGGAACCTCGGGATGCCGCTGCAAGCCTTGGTGTTGTGGAGCTAATTTTGAAGGTAAGTGGAATTCCCTTTCGTATGAGCTCCCAAAGCAGTTGGACCGACTTTTTGACTGGCAATTTGTCTAAATGCATTCCTGACTCTTCCCACACAGTTTGTGGGAACATAATTGGTAGTAGTTACTTTGTAAAGAATTTCAGTGGAAAATGTCGTTGCCCTTTCGAGGATATGATAATTAAAGAGCGAATATAACAGGGTGCACGAATAGCAGATGTAATGTGCAGTCTGTTACGAATCGTGCTCAACTCGTACACGGGACCCATTCGAATGTCAAAAACGAAAGCGTACAAGATGTTCAATATCATAGAAAACATAAAGGTTCGTTGTTTCTAATGCTGTTGAATTGAGGGTTAGTTTTTATGAGGGGCTCCGATCCGATAAGGTTGAGACTGAGGGAGGCTTTGCTTCGACTGGGCTTTTTCTGCCTTTTTGAGAAAACAGCCAACGGTTTAAGTCAAAACGTATCTATCCGTTTTTTTGAATGCTGCAGTTCCCTGGCGAAAATTCTTGAGGAACAGTAATCACTGATCTCCTCTAACGACCCTATGGTGATCATTTTTAGGCAATTTCACATACATTTGCCGAAAGCCGTAGAATGTTACTGGAATGCTGCCAGATGGCTTGCCTTCAGTGGCGATGCCATTCGCTAGCACTAATCGATCGTGTTCGTCTATCAGCTCGAGAATCTGGAGATGTTCATCGTGCGGCTGCTTTCCAAATCGCCATTCAGTGCTTACTCGGAAGCGGTAAGTTAAATCTAGAGGTACTGATTACGAGGTAGTTTAAAAATCCCGAAGGAATCAAGCTTTCACAGCAATGGCTATTCCTGCCCAAAGCATTGCTTTTCCAGGATTTTAGGCAACCACTGGTTGAATGAAATGTGAGAAAATCTAACAAAAGAGTATCTGATTCGGTTACCTCTAACTTTCCATCGTCCATTGTATATCTCCCCGAGTTCCCACGTACAGCTGCTCCATCATTATTTTTCAGAATCCCGATGTCGTCTGTGTGTCTGTGGAGTGGCACTGGAAATCGCTCAATATAAGGTGACTGCCTTTATCTAGTCAAGGTATCTTCTCCATTGAAATTTGATTTGAAGGACTCAATGCGGAAAGTGGATTCAGCCCAATTGGATGCGTTACTTTCCCGATTGGATACATTTTGTAAAATTGACTCCATCATTGAGCGGTAAGTACTGTAAGCAAGTAGTCAATGTATAAGGGAATACCTTTGTATCAGAAAATTATGTTAGATTCTGAATGAAATATAAAAGTCGTATTTACGGTATAGCTAGTACGCGTGGGTTGGTACTGATTCGGAAGAACCGAGACTACGGGTTCATTAGCTGCTTAGGATTTCAATTGAAAATAACAGTTGAAAGGTGGGAAGCAAAGCAACCCTGGCAACAATTCAACCCATCTTCTACTTTTTAGATTATCTAGGTGCAACCAACTGGTAAGTTATTGCTTCCTGAACTTGTTATGGATTATACCTACGGACCTTTTGGGATTAACGAAGGCCTGCTTGTGATTGGTTGACTTCTTATGATGACCAATCACAGATGCGCGTGCCTTTTCAGATCCAAATTCTTTCAAAAGTGCCTTTACGTGGCACATGTTTGCTTGAATCAGAAACGAACTATTCTGAGTTCTTCTAATATTTTTCCCCTTTACTTTCTGGAGTCCTCTAGATTACTTTATGTTCAATCACGTTTCAATATTATTGTAGTAGTCTATTTAGAGTAGCAAACTGTTCATTCCTGCTTTTTCATCGAGATTTGATTGGAATTTATTGGGATACTGTCTTGGACCGCACACCGACCAGGCAAAGCATAATGGTACACTTTTACACGTTTTTATAATAACGTAATTAACATGATTAATGGTTTCTCTGTTACTTGCTAAGTTCAGCTCGTTCATTCAGTTCAATTTATCACTTAAAACAATCGAGAACTGCCAAAAGTTCCTCCCACCTTCTGCAATCCGCAAATGGGAATGTTTAAGGCTTCTAGAAATCCTTTCCATGCTTCACTGATGAATGGATGAAGAAGAATATCTTAGTAGGGATGGTAGAAGTGATCTCAGAGCTCTTTTACAGAGGTCTATATTCATTTTTGTTGATAGGGTTTTCCCCAAAATCCTTTGGCCAGGGTAAGGAAAGCCAACCACGGCATTTCTCTAAGAAGCAGACCGCAGGGAGCGCTTTATCTGTGGATTCGTAGGTCTTAGATTTTTGAATCATAAAGAACGGTAATATATAATTATATTATACTATATTTTTCTAGTTTGTTAAGGGTTAAGGTTAACATAAAAATCAGTAGTTATTATTTATAAATCTTCTGGAATCTTATTTTATTTACTTTAACTGCTCTCTTCTAAACTTCCTCCCTATTTTTATTCTTAATCTTCTTTCATATTCATATTCTTAATCCATCATTTCTTTTGAATAGTTTTTTATAATGCTTACTTACAGTACTTCGCCATGGCTGTTTCGGACTGTATTCGCTATGTGAAGAAGTCCCAAAGTGATATTCAACTGGAACATTTTCGAAGGGAAATGTTCGATCTGATCAAGAAGGTACCCACACCCATCGGTTTTTTCGTGGAAATTGCAGACCAGTCCATTACAGGGATTCCTCTATCCCCTTTGTGCTGCGATTGAAAACGATCTCAGAATTCTATCGCATCAACATCTGGTCATCGATGAAAGGTGAGATAATAAAAATAAGGAGATCCTGACAAAAAAAAAAGAAAGAAGCAAAGGATATTTTTCAAAAGATATTCTGAAAGAGAGAAAATTTAGAAGTATAAGCAAAAAAAGTAAAATATTTGGTAAAAGTGTTTCTTTCTTAAAACGTTCGGTGGTGAAACTTAAGCGCTTTTGTATTCTCCAGAGATAAGCCTACTGAAGAACAGCTCGAATTCTACAAGGAAATATTGACTGATCCCGAAGTTCGACTACATGGCGAAGTTCTGAATATCAGCGGTTTGTACTTTTTATTTCAGAAGTTCTGTCCTGGAAATGGGTAGTACACGTAGGGATGACACCTACAACCTTTTAGAGCTGTCTTCTCAACGTTTGTAGAACAAAGTTTTTTCCAGAGTTCGTTTCCTGCTACCTTCAGAAGACCTTCTATGACCTGACCGCGGTAACTTTACACGATCGCCATGCGTACAGTAGAATGGCCACCCTTGCCGAACAACGGTGAGTTTGTTAGAGTTCGTTGGATAGCAGGGAAAGCTGGGAGCTCACTTATCCGGCTTTCCATTGCTAGGCATTTGTTTGAGGTATGGCTTGAGTCTCATTGATGGAATGCTACCGAATTGTTCCATTGGCCAAAGTCTGGATGTAGTAAAAGTGATGCGATCGCTTGGAGAGTTTGTCAGCAACTTCAATTATTGTCTAAATCAACAGGTATGGGTCGCACTAAATATATGTAACTACGCATTACAAGTGGGCGGAGTGAGCGCTTGAATGGGTGGCGCTTGAACCTGGGATTTGTCATTCACTTCAAGGGCAGGTCCAGACTGGCTGCATATAGTAAATGATGAAGGGACTGACGTTCATCCATTTCTAGAGGGTACGCCATTTCTCCATACTCGTTCATTACCGTGGAAATATGTCAATGGTCACTTGGTTTGTGCAATGGCTAGGTGGCGCTTACCAATGTTAAGCTTATTGTTAGTTCTTTTTCTTGTCCCAACTGTAAATTCGGTATCAAAACGCTACTCAAGTGTAACGCAGGGTCTGAACCGATACGCCCTTCCCTCAGCTTCAACAGTAGCTTATTGGTTCAAGTTTCAATCAATCCCACTTCAAGACCCAGTGAATCCGAAAGCGCTTATTGTTCCATTTAGCTGTTCATCGAAAAGGTTTCTCCGAATCGAACACTTCGCGTTCTGACTGCCGAACACATGGCCGATTCCATGAGAACACAAGGCCTCGGGGTACTGAACACCAGCGTTAACATCACCTATCAGGTAAGCTGGCTGTACGTCTTTCAGTTGTCAACAGTATGCCTGAAAAGGGGCATGGCAAAAGCTCCAGAGGTACAATGTGATTGCCTAGTAGTGGCCATCAACTTGCTTGAAACCTACTTCGGAAGAGATTGGTTGTTAGACGTTTATCAA